TTTGTTGGACTCAAGTTGCTCTCAGAAATTTGACTGATTGATTGATTGATATATTCAGTCTTTAAAAGTGGAAGCACGTTTGCATATGTTTAGCCTTCAGTCCTACTCTTCCTCAACTTTTGGGCTTTTGGTCTTTGTGGCTGTTGCCAGTGTGACAATGGTGACCTTAAAATGTATATCTGGTCATGCCTCTTACCCAAGAAAAATATGTCGGTGGCTCCTGGTCTCATAAAGGAGCATCTTGGCATGCCACTCAGTGTTCTTCATCCTCTTTTCCAAGCTTATCTCCTACTATTCTCTTTCCCCCATTCCTTTCTGTTCCAGCTATAACATGTCCCTATTTTGTAATGCCTCATGGTATTGGGGCATAACTATATTTTTATATAGGATTATACCATACATACTCCCTGAATTTATTTTAAATTGTGGTTTTATTGTGTTACCTAAAATCCTTAATTCAAGAAATATATTAAAACTCTTAAACTTTCCATTCTTCCTTTGCCTCTGTTATTTTTCTTTCCCACAAAACAGGTTGAATTGGTAGATATGTAGTCAGTTCTCCATATCTGTGGCTTCCACATCCTCGGATACAACCAAGAGTGGATGGAAAAACAAACAACAAAAATCACAATACAACAACAAAAATGAAACAAATTAAAAAAAATACAGTATAACTAATTACATAGCGTTTACACTGTATTAGGTATTGTAAGTAATCTTGAGATGATTTAAAGTATATAGGAGGGTGTGCAGTGCATAGGCTATATGCAAATACTATGCCATTTTATGTTAAGGACTTGAGCATCAATAGATTTAGCTATCTGCAGGGTCCTAGAACCAATCCCCCATGCATATGGAGGGTCTTAAGCTATGCTAAAGATCCTACACTCAGACCATCATGGATGACAAAGGAAAGGAAGGGACGTGAAGGGAAGGGGAGGGCAGGGCAAGAGATTTACTCTTTACACTGACAGTTTCTAGCTACCTCATTTATAATCCTCTCAAGTAATAAGACATCCATTCTAAAAGTGAAGTAAGAGGCTCACTGGTTAAATGACTTGTTCCCAATCTTATCTTTCTGTTTGGGGAAGTCTACCAAATGCATACGATCTCATTATCTCACTTTATTATTTACTAAAACCTCCTGTTCTTCCTCTCTTCCCAGTGTAGGAGTCATCGGCATTCTTCTCTCTCTTTCACCCTCACACTTAATTAGGTCTCTGCTTCCAGCTCATTCTGCCTTTTTTAATAACTTTACCCTCCTCCCCATTCCTGTTGCTGGTACCAAAGTCTGGGCTTAAATGGTGCTTGCTTGGAACTATTTCAATAATCTCCTTGTTAACATCTCTGCATCCAATTTCCTCCCACTCCAATCTTTCCCCCACATGGCTGTTTTGTCCTTGTGGTATTTCTGAATGGCAAATCTGACAACATTACTCCTGTTAATGCACTCTCTTTCGCCCTTAAGTAAAAGTCCCTTGCCAGCTCTATCAGGATTTTCATGATTTGTTCCTTTCTCCTCTGTAGTAGTAGCTCCCTTTGCTCTCCCATTTGCATCCTACACACCAGCCATACTGAATGACTTACAGACTTTGAGTAGTCCCAGGTTTTCCTGTCTCCATGCTTTGTTTGTACTCTTTACTCCACCGGGAGGGTTTACCTCTTGCAAGATGAACATCTCTCTTTCAAGAAGTCACTCAAGTGTTTACCTCTCTCTTGTTTTCTCTTACACCAGCTTTGGAAATGTTGGTCATAACTTCCTTTCTACTAATCTACCTTTTACATATTTATATAATACTGTTTGCCACACTGTGCCGCAAGTTTTTGGTTTTATATTTAACTTAGTTATTTGACTGTCATTTCTCCAATGTCACAAATTTTGTTCTCACGTTTACAAATGTTAATTTTATAAATTTTGTTCTTGTTGCATTCCTAATGTCTAGTTCTAAGCACATTTTTGATTATTGAATGAATATTTCATTTCTTCCTTAAAATTAAAAAATTTTGTAAATTGTAAAATATTTTCAAAATTAAAACAAAGTCGATGAAAAGTATACGTGTCATTGGGAATGTGAACTGCTTCCTTCATTATAAGAGCAGGTAGGCTAGACGTGCTATAGTTGATAATTGGAGGATGGTTTGGAAGATAATTCGAAGAATGGACTTGCAAATAGATCCAAGAAACATTAAACCGTGTACTTTTTGTTTTGCAATTACTAATAGTTTTCCCTGCCCTTAAAAGTAGTCACTTTTTAGTAGTTTGAGATGGCTGATTAATTATCCTTCCTCCTATGGATTCTGAACAAGTACAAGATAGGAATTATTAAAATATCAGCAGATTCAAATTATGTTATCAGTTCTATTTCAGGTACAGCTGAATTGGAGAATGCAAGTTGGACTTAATGACAAAAATCAAGTTTCCTACTTCACTTTTGCCTTGGATTTGGCTGAGTTGACCAGGCTTAGAAAACTGCAGGCCACAGGTGTTGAAGCTGAGGTAGGTGATGGGCTAGTGAGCATGGTGGAAAAGCCTTGGGGAAAAAGCCTTGGGCTGCCTAAGAAGAGAAGATGAGGTGGCCAAATGTGGGCAGCAACCCTTCTCCACGTGGTCACAAAATCAGAGAAGATAGAACAGCGCTGGCACACTCTCAGTATCTCCCTGGGCTAAGGGAGAAGAGTTCAGGGAAAAGTAAGAGAACGCTCTTTCATAGTCCTGAAAGGGTTCATTTCTACTGTGTGGCACCACAACAGGGTGCCAGGAGAGAAAGGGGCTGGATCTTCCAAGGTAGGGTAACAGGACCCATCAATCTCTTAAACCTAGAGCCCAGGACCTCAGAGATGTTCACTCAGGAATTCCCCTTCCCAGAGACTGGATCTTGAGACCCCTTAGTAAAAAAATATAATGTGATTGTTTGCTTTCTTTTCACCTAACACTTAGCATTTTATCATGATGAGTGTAGATTAATAACTGCTCCCGACAGGAAGGACATATGTGTTAATAGCATCGAAGCTTAATGATAAAGGAATTGTCAACTCAACACTCAGGTGAGTGCTCTGATGGGAAGAAGGACCCTCTGTGGTAGTGTGAATTATAAAGGACTTTTCCCTGCAATTTATGGAGTGCGCTGGACCATGTCATCTCAGCCCAGGTCAATCTGCAATTGCACATCCTGATGACGGTAAAGAGCAGTGACCTGGATGCAGCTACTGCCTGTGCTGCGAGCGCAGGGTGGCTGCACCCCGCTTAGTCTGCATGCTTACACCCTCTGACATCCCTTTCAGTCCATGGAGTTTATGTTCCTGATGATGCCTGGAGTGGAAATGACCTAGATAAATCCTTGCGGGCTCTGACCCATAATTTATTAATTCACAATTAGATTTATTTAGTTCTAGCTTATTTATTTCAGGTCTGTGGGCTTGCATTCTTAAATGTGCTCCTCGAAGTTGTGATGTATTTAATTTGACCAATTCTATGAATTATATAATGGTCAGGAGGAAAAAAGAAAGAGAGAAAAGTCATGGTTTGGAGGCAACAATGTCAAATGAATAGATCATATTTTCACACATGGGTCTGATTTTCTTATGGTTTGGCGGTCTCTCAGAAGTACATTCTCAACTGATGCTCAGAGCCCAAGGTGACCTACCATGGTCCAGAGTCCCCAAAAGCAGTGTTTTTCAACCTGACATGCACATGAATCACCAGATTGAGCAGGTCTGCATGGGATCGAAGGGCTGGCATTTCAAAAGCCCCCAGTGCCAGTGACTGAGCAGCAAGAACTAAGTATACAAGTCAAAACGCCAGCTCCCAACTCATCACAATTCATTTTATTCCACAGCATGTTAAGGAATGTTATTCTCAGGAAGATGTTTGGGATTAAAATAATTAAAAAAAAAAAACCCTGGAAAGTACACACATTTATGTATCTCTTCTTTTCATTAAATATATATCTGTTTGGCAAAAATGTTAGACTCTTTTGTACAAAAACAAAGCAAAAAAAAAAAAAAAAAACTAACCCCAAACCCTTGCAAATTGTAAATACCTGTAATAATTACAATGATGTAAACTTGGATGTCTGACAGCGTGACCATCCTGTGGAGACGGTGACACCAAACCCTTGGACAGCAAGAGCCCGTCACAGAGGCAGTCTATCAGAGATGGAGCGTGACTACTATTTCACCATTTGTGCTTTCAGCTAAGAGGCTGGGAGCGTGTGTGGAAATGAAGGCAGGTCTGGCCTGGGGCGGGGAGAGGAGATCCCAGACTAGCTAGCGAGGAGGAGGGCAGGTTGGTGACGGTCACAGTGCAGATGCAGAGTGGGCGTGGAACCTGGGGACTGTGTGTCTGCGAGACCCGGTGCTGGCGAGGGCTGCGATAAGGCAGCTGCTGCTGCTGCCCTTGGGACAAAGAGGAACAGGGTGAGGCCAAGGCAGGGAGGGTGGCGGGAGGAGACTTGAAAGCAGATCTCAATTCAAATGGAACTAGAGGTGTGCGCTGACCCTACAGAGAAGGGGAAGGAGGATGCTAGGCCGTTTCCTCTAGACACGGGCCTTGGGGCACTGCCCTCGGTCTGGCGGGCAGTCTGGGGCTGTTGGCTCCCTACAAGGAAGGAAGGAAGGAAGGAAGGAAGGAAGGAAGGAAGGAAGGAAGGAAGGAAGGAAGGAAGGCAGGCAGGCAGGCGTGGGATAGGGGCTGGGATGACGGGGCTCCTTGGCTCTCCGACTGGCGGTGGGCTTTTGCTCTTTCTTGTCCCACCAGCAGACTGCAGCAATGGGAAGTGACCTAAAAAGCCACGAAGCCTAGAAACGGAGGTCAGGGAGGTGAGCAAGATGCCAGGGTGGGGCCGAGAGACGCCAGGGCTAGAGGCGAGGCCGAAGGGAGTGTAGACCCACAGCTTCCTTTCACTCAAAGGAGGGTTCCAAGGCGTGGGCGTGTTTTCATTCCCTCTCTCCTGTTAGCTAGGTTTTCCAGTTTTGGAGAAGGCGCGTCCGGCCCGGCCACTTCAGTTACAGTCATAGACGAAGTCATAGTTGCTGGGCTCCTTGGGGATGGGCGGGGGCGCGTCTGGGATCTGGATGTTTTCCAGGTCCAGGAGGCGGAGCTTGATTTCCATGCTGAGCAGGGTGTCCAGGTCATTCCGAGTCAGGTCGCTCATCATGTCTTTCCCAAGCAGCGCATTCAGCCCGTCCGTCCAGATACAGTACTGGCGGGAAGGGAGGGGACAGCAATCACCACTGGTGACAATTACAGGAGCAGTAAAAATAGATACCATTTAGTGAATACTAACCCGTGCTAGGCTCTGTGCCGCGTGCTTTGCCTACAAAGTCAGTTCATATTCGCAACATCTCTAGAACGTTGACAATTCTGTTACCATCTATCTCTGTTTTACAGGTGAGGGAACTGAGGCACAGAGAAGCGAAATAACTGGGTAGTATGTGGAGTGGGTGGAATTTGAATCCAGGCAATTTGGCTCCTGGGCCTGCACCCTTTTCTGCAAAGAATGCCTCCCTACGTAGCGGCGAAGGGTTTGTGTTCTCCATGACCACGCAAGGTACTCCTCTGGGGCTTCCAGTCACAACGCACAGAGGTGCAGCAAAGTGCACATTGCCCCAACATCTGCAGGTAGAATCATCTCTTTGCCTGTTTGGGCTCTACAGTCTTATCTCTAACATCCCACCAGTGAGCCCATGACTTTAAGGTATTGGTGGAATCTATCCCAACACCCCTGGACTCAGCAGGTCAAGCTTGCTGTTTTGCTGCTTCCACTTGTGATTCCTAGTGCACTAGCTAGTTTCTGCCTGTACCTGATTCGTAGCACAGCCCCATTCCATCCTAGAGCCAATGGGAAATAGCCTTCTGCCATCCAACATCTGACAGCCAAAATAACTACAATTATTGGGTGATCCTAACGGGAGAGGGGTTGGCTACCTGTCTGGGGGACCTCCCTGCCCCGTCTCCAATTTCCCAGGGTTTCCCTCCACCACGTCTCTGGGGCCTGATCCCTGGGATGTCACCTGTGTTGGAAAGCCCTTCGGAGTACCCAACCAAGAGTTTGGTTCTTCTCCTTCCATAAAATTAACCATAGCCTTTTTAGACTATGAACTCCCGAGGGCTGGGGAAGAAACGGTGCCTTATTTATCTGAGTTCATGCCTTGCTCCTGTCAACTTCTCTCCCAGAGACTGGGTCCTGCCCTGCCCTAGAAGGAGACTCGTGCTACCAGGTCAAAGAGCCAGCCTCTGCTGCCAGCACGGTAGAAAGCGGCCTGCGTCTGGATGCTGCGTTCCACTCACGCTAGGCTGGCCCTAGTCTTCCACAGGACTTTGTGACAGCAGCTGCTCTGCTCTTCTCACTGCACTGGGCTCCCTCCCAGCACGCACTCTAGATGCCCTCCTCTGCTGGCCTCGCTGGGTCAAGTGGCAATGCTAGACCCTACTGAGCCTATCTTTTGCACTGTGGTTATCTGCACTGTATTCCAGAATATGATGGCAGATATCAACACAAAAGTATCAAAAGTCTATTGCAAGTACTATATAAATCTTCAGTCACCATGACGTGATGGAAATCTACCATGTGCACATCAGTGGCACCAGTTTTTTAAGTCAAGGAGATGCATAATGGTTGCACTGTGAGATTCCTGTCTGAAGAGGGCAGTACTGAACTGTAGGGTTTTGGTTCTATTCATCCCTTGCCTATGTGATCTCAACCAATGCATCTAACCCACGTAAACATCGGCTTAGTGCTGAGGGATGGATCTCAGGAAACATGAGTGCCCTCGGGAATACCTTAGCTGGATTCTGAACATGTCTAACTATCTATTTCTTCATAAATAACGTTGGTAGAAATAGATACCTAGTTCCTACCTTGGAGATTCTGATCTTGTAGATCTGGGATGAGGAGACTTTATTTATACAAACTTCCCAGATAATTCTGATGAGCATCCAGGTATGGGTACCCCTGAACTCTGTACTCTCAAAGGCCCCCTCCAGCTCTGACACTGTTTTATGGTAAATCCCCCAGTCCTGGAGATTACTGCTCTTTGTACAGAGCCTTCCCAGCCTTGGCTAGCTTCCTGGATAGATTAATTTAACTGTGCAGATTAATTTAACTTCCTGTGCAGATTAATTTAACCCACAGGAACATTTCTATGGTGCTTTTCTTTTGAGAACAGCAGGCACAAAAAATTTTATTAAGAGTACAATCGACCAATAAATAAAAACCCTGTAGTACTGGATTTGAGTTGGAACCACCAGTATCAACTAATGATGCATTTTATCTTAAAAAAAATCATAACTCATAGCTGTATCCCCAAAAAGTCTTAAGAATGATGACTGACTAAGTAGTAATAAACACACCTTATGTCTAGATTCTGGTTACTAAATACCATTTCCTAATAAAAGTAACTAAGGCTCCACAGAGAAAAGGCAAGAAACATACAAGATGAACCTCAAGCATCACGTCATACCAGAAAGCCAGAAAATTATCAAATCTTGCCAAAAAGTTATCATAGGAGTCATGTCGACAGAACTCAGAAGCCAACCTGATGGTGTTTCTATTTGTCCCAGATAGGACAATTTAGACACTAATCATTACAAAAATGGAAACATATTGAGACACAAATGTTTAAAATGCATGACTTACTCAAACACCTTACAGAAACACCTCACTGGTCTTCTTTGAAAGATGCTTATGTATTTTGAAAACTGGTAAAGTGAATCAAGTATTTATCCTGTCTATCATATATAAATTATATAACTTTAGGGTAATCAAATAGTTGATGAGGCCAGTTTCTCTTTATATATCCCAAAACTCTGTGAAGAAGGAATGACAGAAGTGGGATATCAACCTTTTGGAACCTCTGATGGACCCCAGGATCTGGGCAATGATCACCGGTGGCTGCTGATGTCCAAGAAAGAGAGGCAAGAAGACACCACAAAAGCACACACCACTGCTGCTGTTACCAAGTGAGCCTGGATTTGATTAATCCTCTAATTGTCAATTTATAAGAAATGTAAGGGACATGGGACAGATGAATATATGAAATGATTTTGCAGGTTGTGGTGGGCAGAATAATACCTGCCATCCAAAGATGTCCAGAGTCTGCTCCCCAGAACCTGGAGTATGGCAGGTTCTGGGGCGAAGGAAATTAATGTTGCTATCAGCTGGCCTGAAAATGGAGAGATCTTAGATTATACAGGTGGGCACAGTGTAATCACAAGGGTCCTTGAAAGTGAGAGACAAAAACAGAAGAGGTGTCAGTGAGAAAAGTGGGAGGGAGATTTGGCTACAGAGGAGGCTGGAGCGACACGATGAGGGCTCAACCTGCTGCTGCTGGGGGTGGATGGAGGCCGAGGAATGGAGGCGGCCTCTAGACTCGGAAAAGGGAAGGGGATAGATTCTGCCCCAGGGCCTCCGGAATGGAACAAAGTCCTGCCTACACCTTGATTTCAACCCAGTAAGACCTGCATCTGACTTTTGACCTCCAGAATTGTTAAGATACCACATTTGTGTTGTTTAAAACTAACACTGAGTTTATGGTAGTTTTTTTACAGTAGCAAGAGTAAACTCAAATACAGTTATAATCAGCACATCTAGACTACTGGCAATGTTATAGGACTAACAACCTGGTTTTTTCAATAAATAAATTGTCAGGAGAAAACGCACATACTTATGGTTGTGAGAGAGAAAGAGAGGAACCTGTAGATTCAGAGAAACCTAAGAAACATGTCAACAAGCTGCAATGTATGGATCTTATTTGCATTCTGACTTGAACAAAAAATAGAAAGAGAAAAACGCAAATGAGACAATTGGAGAAATCTGGAAACAGATTGCACATGGTGGTATTAAAATCACCACATTATTAATTTATTTAGGTGTGATAATGGCATTGCAGTTATGTTTAAAAATTGACTATTATTGAGAGATGCATACAGGATATTTACAAATAAAATGATATGCTATCTGGATTTGCTTTAAAATAATCAGAGGTGGCAGCTGGGTGCTGGGAGAAGAGTGAGTGGGGGCATAGGTGAACCAGTTTGGCCGTGAGTTGATGATTGCAGAAGCTCAGTGAGGAAGGTGTGGGCTCAGTGCCTGCTCTGTCCCTTCATAGCTCCATCCTGCAGGGACTAAAGGAGGGGCTTCTGGAACAAGACTTCCAGGGTTCAAATCCCAGCTCCATCACTTACTCCTTGTGTGACCTTGGACATGTTTCTTAACCTCTCTGTCCCTTATTTTCCTATTTTATAAAATGAGGATACTATTCATTTGTTTCTCATAGAGTTATATAAAGATTAATGAGGTGAAATATATATATATATAACATATTTATATTTATGCATATAAATATATATATAGCATTTAATGGTGCCTGGCAGAGAGCAAACCAGGCTAGTTATAATTACAGATGACCCTTGAACATAATGGGTTTGAACTGTGTGGGTCACTTATGGGTGGACTTTTTTCCAATAAAAGTTCTGCAGGGTGTGCCTGTGTCTCCTGCCTCCCCTTCTACCTCCTCCATCTCTTCCTCCTCTGCCACCTCTGACACAGCAAGACCAATCCCTCCTCTTCCTCCTCCTCCTCCTCAGCCTACTCAATGTGAAGACAATGACGACAAAGACCTGTATGATGATCCACTGCCTCTTAATGAATAGTAAATATAATTTCTTTCCCTCATGATTTTCTTAATAACATTTTCTTTTCTCTAGCTTACTTTATTGCAACAATATAATATAACATACAGAATACGTGTCCATCTACTGCTTATGCTATCTGTAGGTCAACAGTAGGTGATTAACGGCTAAGTTTTGGGGGAGTCCAAGGTTATACATGGGTTTTCAACTGCAGGGGTAGAAGGGTCAGTGCCCCAACCCTCGTGTTGTTCAAGGGTCAACTATGCTATTATTCTTTCTATTGTTGGGGTATTCAGTCCTGGGAGGCCTCTCTCCCCTCGTTGATAAAATCTGTAATACAACTTTCTATTTTATGGAGTGATTATGAAAATAAAATGAGGTAATAGATAAGAAAGAGGTCTAAAGAAATTAAAAGTGTTCACGAGCATATGGCATTTTCCTCTTCACTGTATCTATAAGAAGTGGCAGATATGAGTAATAATCTGGCATTTCTGTGGCATTTATCATTACCTGGAATTAATGTACACTGGGGAAAGCAGCCTTGTATAGATTTAAATCACATGCAAAGTTCTACTACTCTAAGTGGTTTTTCTACTCAGCTCTATACATCTTGAATATGGTGGCCTGTGCAGAACCACAATTTCATTTAAAAACAGAAACAGTAGGACACAGTATCTATTTTCAGAAAGATGAAGACAAAGTCTTACCCTTCAGCAAACTAAATGTCAAGTGACACAGAATTATATTTAAGCACCATTCTAAATGCAAGATTTGTGTCTAATCTTTTCTCTCTCTTTGGGATGTACAATTTTATTCAAAAGCTTCAAACCAGTGAAAACCAGATACTGAATAACTTCTAAATGAGCTACATGTCCTAGGGGAAACGGGGAACAACAGTCAGATTCTATTAAAATGTTCCCTTCCTTTCTAAAAGCTGTTTATGCAACCACATGCAAAACAAAAATTTCAATGGCATCATCTAAAAATAAGTTTCAAGCATGATGTTGGATTCCATTTTACAAAAGAAAGTTAAATCAACCATAACTGCTACTTTATCTTACAAATTCATTTTCCTAGACTTTTGCTAAATATTTTAAATATAGCTGACAGCGTGCTTCAAGAAGAGAAACAAATTACACATATAACAAGATGTCAAAAAGGAATAAAAACATCTTGAAAACAAAATCCTAACAGCAGAGACAGCCCTAAACCTCTCAAAATAGCTTAAAGAAACTTGGTAGAAACCCTAATTCATCAGATGTTTTGAAGAATAGACTAGTTTATCTTGGAAAAATCTAGACCAAAAAACTAAATATGCAATGAAAACCAAAATTGTAACGAGGGCTCCTTCTTCCCCTGGATAGTCAATGATGTCTGTGCTGAGTTTGAGGCATTCTACATCCTTGTTCTTTACTGTGAGCTCTAGAGCAAGCTACCAGGAAGTTCAACCTGTCGTAACTGGCAGTTTTTCAAGAGGTTTCTAATCTATTCCAAGTCAACAAGATGCACCTTTGTCCATGATTCTTTTCCCCCGGCAGGCCTTTCTTTAACGAAAGCGAAATTTCTTCCTTGCCAGTGGTTTTCCAGAGAAAATGCAACCTTCTCTCCCACAGGAACCCCACTGAGACCCTTACCTCATGCTTGTCGGGAGCGATGAAGTTCAGCTGGCAGTTTGAGTCGTACAAGATGGAGAAAGCAAGTTCAAGCACCTCCTACAAGAGATGAGAGAAAACACCACATTTGATTTTCAGTTACGAGTGGCTGCAGGGGGGCACGTGGGGTTGGGCCCACAGCCTGTCGTGACAGGAGGAGCGGCGAGAGGCTGCTGGGAGGAAGGGGCATGCTTTGCAAGGGTCCAGAATGATTCCTTCTCTCCATTCGGGGAAGGTCTGCATGGCCATCTCATTTAATTCTCACGACAGCCCATGTAGCAACTGTTATCACTGCCCTTCACGGAGAGGTTAGATGAGTGTCCAAGGCCACAGCCCCAAAGCTGTGTTCTTCTTCTGCCTTCAGCATCACCGTTCCAGCGAGACCACGAAAAACAGCAACCGGTCTCCCAATCAGCAGCAATGAAGGCTGCTCTAATTTCTATCACCCCAAAACAGAGGTATGAACTCCTAAGATGTGGAAGCTGCACTGGAGGTGAGGAGGCTTCTGGGTGAACCCAGCATCTTTATGTCTGTCTGTCTTTTGTTTTTTCAGCTACTGTGGAGCAAAGGCGACACAAAGCCTAGAGCTGATTCCACAGAGGCTACCGGGTACAAAGGAGAAGGATGGGCTCTAGGGACAGAATAGCTGAGCTCACACACTGGTGAGCACCACTGAGTGCAGACTGAGCCAGGCCCAAAGGACCCAGGACTGAGTGACATTTGTTTCAGTGCAGCCGAATGACCTTGCCAAGGCACTCAGTGCCACGTCTCATATGCACATTGAAACGCTTCCGGTGCCGGTGACAGGCACGGTGATCACTCTGGTCTGAGCGGACAGCGGAGCATGAGTCGCCAGCACATCTTAACTCCCTGATGGCTCCCAGTCTGCAGGGGAAGGGCCACGCGTCTCCACTCCAGTGCTCTTATCACAGGCGTCACAGCACCTCTTCCTTCTCTGTGCCTCTGTTAGGCACCACCGATGACCCCCGTCTCCCCTGCTGTGATCTGGGAGCTGCACTGCTCAGTGACTGCCCAGGAGGCGTTCCTTCTTGGGAGCCAGATCTCTCCGCTTTATTCTCCACCATAATATCCATCAGAGGATGTGTCTGTGGCCAGGGACTCACAGCAAGAATGCCCCAGAAAGAAGAGGGGCAGCAAAAAGATGAGGCCAATACCTCTAGATAGCAGAGTGTCAGTTGGATTAAAGCATTCTTCCATGGTGAACTCTGTAGACCCATGTTCTCATAACTGGATGCTCCCAGCTCCGGCACAGGCCCTCATCAGCTCTGTCTGGCTCTGGAGTCTGTCTGTGTCTGCCCCACCTCCAGCTTCCCTCGCTAAGGGGGGCAGCTCCTGTTCTGAGCTACACCTACCAGTATCTCACATGCAGATGGACTCCTTCCCCCGCCAGAAACAGACTCAAGTGGAGGAAAAAATGCCGAGTCACGGAATGGGAGCGATTCTACAAAAATACCCTCCTCATTTTTTTGCTCTTTTTCTTCCTTAGGCCTCCACTCAGGCCTGCCCAGTGCAGACAATAATGTCAAAAACAGAAGCTCGCCAAGACAGTGATTTTCCATTAAGTATGGCATCTGTTTCCGTAGCCATATCTTTTGGGCCTTTTAGTCTATAATTATAATGGTCATGGTTTTACCAGTGTTCCTGTAAATTTATATCATTTTGTTAAATCACTAAGGCAATACATATGAAGAACCAGGGATGCTACCCCAGGGGTTATTCCTAAAAAAACATTCAAAAGCAAGGAAAAGTTAAATATTATTATCTGTAAGAAGATGATGAAAAACTAAATCTCTCCCCACTTTGGGTATTAAAGACATCACAAATTAGGAACTGAGAGAAACGTATTTGGCCAACCATTCAGTAGGATAATTGTGAAGATCTGAGGTTTAAGCAAAGAAAAGTAGGAGAAATGAACACTACATACATACTGATCGTACCTGTGGGCAGAGCCTGGAAACCAGTATGTGAAGTGAAAATAATTATGTTAAGGTGCTGGGATCATAAATCATTATTTCTTCTTAAAACATTATTTTTTTCAATGAAATGTTATGCATTAATCTCATAAATTCATAAAAATTGTTCTCAGTTTAGGAACATTGATAAAAATGATGATTTCCTTACTCATCTTAGAGTCATTCATTAGGAAAACTCTCTGACTTACACTTGAGAGGTTGGAGAGAAAGGAGAGGACGGGCTTTGCTTTTGAACAACTAGTCAGGATCTTCCACGGCATGAGGGGCCCTTTGGAAGTGAGCTGGAAAAGGTGAAATCCACCCAGGCCACTCTGCAGGACACCTGCCTCTTTGTTTAGGGACATCACGTGACTGATCGTCCGCTCGCTCATGACAGCCAGTGTGAACACCACCACAGCCCAGACACGTGTTCTCAACTAGGTGATGAAGCCACTTGAGACCAGAGTGTCAGTGAGGCTATCGCTGTGACACTTTTTCTTTTGCATGGGGACAAAGAAAGAAGGGAAAGGAAGGGCGTGCGTGAGCCTTGGGCATTGCCCTTCTATGGCACATACCACTCAAGACGAGAACGGTCGGAACTGTCATGACCTAGATTTCTCGTAAACACAGGCAGGAAACAGGAAATTCGTGAGAATGTCAATTCCCACTTAAATTTCGCCAAGGCTGCCTGGGAGGGGGTGGAAGGAATTAATTCTCTGAACCGCATGCCTGCGTTTGAGGGTGCTCTCGCTTATAATGGGTTTTATTGACATCTCCGGCTCGCTGTCATTGAGTCACTGGTGAAGGTCAGCTCTTCAGCACTGGCAGCAGGGAGGCTGCAGAGCCAGGAGCGATGACACCTCTCCGGCTAACACTCCAGAAGCTGCCACCTGTCCAAACTGTCCACGAGGGACAGAGGCACCAGGTGGTTGTGGGGGAGACAGTCACAGATCTGTGCCTCCCAGGGGCTTCTTGCCGCCACACACCACAACGTCCACTCAGACAGCTAACGCTCTGGGGCTCTGCTGCTCACTGCGGAAGGGCTTTTATTCCCTCTGGATTTAATTCAGGGAACGATTATATCCAGGAGCAGCTTAGCTCCATCCTCTGTCCCACTGATGCCTACTTGCCACCTTGCCATGTGGAAGAAGGCTCGCACAGGCCAAGTTCTGGGGAACTGAACATCGCCCCACGTCCTGGGGCCTCTGACTGCCCCTCCCCCAAACCCATACAACCCTTTGCCCTGGGACCAGTGGCAAGACATGCCGAGCCAGCAGATGCTCCGAGAGATGGTGCCTAGGTTCAGGGACTGCCTTCATCCGCGGGTCCAATGAGGGACTGACTGAATACAAGAGTAGAGTTTTAGGAAACATTCTCAGTATACAGTGTTGGCTGCCAATCCTTACACCATTTGGGAATAAGTTAGCACATCTGGCCATTTTGCTCAGCATTCACTTAACTATGCTGGCTCTTCATCTATCCAGGTCACCTTGAGGGGAGAACATTTTGATGAAAGACACGGGCTATAACTTGGCATGTGTGTGGCTGCTAAATGTGGTCCTACAAACAGCACTGGATTTCGTAGCTATAGTGCACTGTTGCTCAGCTATATATCTATGAACAGACATCAATATTTTGGAAGGCAAAAACCACTCGTTCATGTAGTACACTGCAGAGGAGATTGCCTTTCTCAGGCAGCTATACCTTTGTGGCCCTGATCTATCTTAGAGCTAGTAATTCCCCAGCCTATATTCTTCTCCCTGTCCCCATCTATCCCAGACTCAGAATTCAATGTCCCCCTATATTCAGAATTCAATGTCCCCAATCAGAGGATGCTTGTCACATGTGGAAAGGCCTTTTGTGCCTTTTCACAGACTGTTTCCTCCTCCTGGGAAGTCTCCCCCTCCCTTCCCCCCTGGCTGATTCCTGTTCAGAAGCTATGCTAGATGTCACCTCTCTGTGAGCCTTTCTCAACTTTCCCAGGCTCCCTCTGTGTTTAATTTTTTTGGGGGCACAGACACATCGATTTGTAATTCGCACAAATCTTATCTCCTGGATGCCCAGGGACAAGGGCCAGGTCATATTTATCTTTGGATTCATAGCACCCGACACAGAGAAGACGTTCAGAACATTTACTGAGCGAATGGATGATGAATGAAGTAACCCTGAAACCCTTTGGTTAGGACCAGGATTTTCAAGCCGATTGAGGACATCAGCTTCTAGTAAAATATACTTCTTATTTCAGGCTTATCACACTGGAAAAACTGAAGCTTGAATATAGCACGTGGGAAGATGGAAGTTTTTCTTATGACAAATATACTCCCTTCTGAAGTAGTGGGATTTCGTGAGATCTTCTTTCTGGTGACTACATGATGACTGTTTCACTAAAAGCCCCAAATCCAGTGAGACAAGTACCAAGAATGCCCAGTTTGAAACACACAGCCACAAATCTACTTATTTTTTAAATTAGAGAGCTTGACTTTAGAATCCTGACTCCTTAAAAATCAAAGTCTTCCAACTGAATTCCATCTACTCATGAGAATTCTTTTCAAGTCTCAGTCAGAAATTTTTTAATCTCTCTGTGAAGAGCTCAGAACTCCTTGTCTCCACAGAGATCTGCCTGTTGCACGCACCTCTTTTAGACATGCTAGACTCTAAACTCCTGGGGGACGGGGCCACGTCCGCCCTGTTTACATTCCATGCCTGGAGCTCACCCTGTCTCAGGCACTCCGTGCTGACTGAACAAATGCCTCTGCAGTAGACACTTCAAGGGAAAGGACCAGCTCCCTTCCTCTTTTTATTCCTAGGGCCCTGGGCAGGATCAGGCACATTAGCAGATATTGAATGGGTGAGGACTGCCAGTTACTAATCCTTTGCGATTAACAAAGCATCTCCTTTATGGATGCTAACGTCTCAGTTTGCCTTGCTCAGAGATTACGCTAACCAAAGCGTCCTGTGGCACAAAATGTCAGAAACTGCTCCCCACCAGCAACATGACTTGGTTGTTGCCCACCCACCATGCATTGACAGATCTCCTACAGATGCATTTTGGCCAACTCTCTTTTTAGGCTGCAGGTCTCCCACTTACTACCCAAACATTCCAGAGGTAGGGAGCAGGGGGCCTCTGGAGTACTGAGAAAGAGGTGTGGGGTGGGGCTGTTGAGGTGGGAGTACTGTGGCCTTCCTGTCTGCCTTTGATGGTTTGCCTAATGACAGGTGTATAAACATTATTAATATTATAATACAAGTAAATTTCATGTATATGCAAATGAAAGAGCCAGGCTGGTGGAAATACTGCCATTCTTACCCCTCAAGGCAGACTGGAAGAGCTCAGAGTGGCTACACTATCTGAGCCAGTGGACCCAAGAAGCAGCCTTCATCTGTAGTCTTATTTATCTCTTGACAGCAGTGTGCTCCATCTACCCATCATCCATCCATCCATCATCCACCCATCCATCATCCACCCATTCACTCATCCATCATCTATCTACCTATCCATTATCCATCCACCATCCATCCATCCAATATCCATTCATCCATCATCCACCCACCCACCACCCTCCATCCATCCATCACCCATCTATCCATCCATCCATCATCTATCCACTTATCCATCATACAACCATCTATCCATCCACCATCATCCATCCATCTTCATCCATCTAGCCATCATCAGCCATCCATTCCTCCATCCATCCATAATCCACTCATTCATCATCCATTCATCATCCACCTATCCACCCATCATGCATCCATCCATCATCATCTATCCATCTATTATTCATCCATCCATCCATCATCCATCTATCCATCCATCATCATCCATCCATCTAACTATTATCCATGCATCCACCTATCCATCCATCATCAATCCATCCACAAGCCACCCACTCACATCCATTATCCATCCATCCATCCATCCTCATCCATCTATTCCTCCATCCATGCAACATCCATCCATCTAACGTTTTATGATTGTCATGACAATAAGGAAACTAAAAAGGCTGCAAAAATCATTTACTCAGTTTGTTTTGTTAGTCTCCTTTAAGAAAAGAGGAATCTGATACAAGAATATCCACATGTATCATATGCTCAAGTGAGATCATCTCCAGACCTATTTTGATGACTTGTGTCTTCTCTTGTTTTTTCTGTTAGTTAGGCTAGAAGTTTATCAATTTTATTAATCTTTTCAAGGAACCAGTTTTTAGTTTTGTTATTTTTCTCTACTGTTTTCAGTTTCATTGATTTCTACTCTAATTTTTATTATTCCTTTTCTTCTGCTTGCTTTAGGCTTAAATTGCTCTTCTTTCTTAGTGTCCTAAGCTGGAAACTTGATTGATTTTAGATCTTTTTTCTTTTCTAGTACAGTCATTCAATGCTATAAATTTCCCTCTAAGCACTGCCTTCACTGCATCCCACACATTTTGATAATTGAATTTTCATTTTATTTGGTTTAAAACATTTTGTAATTTCTCTTGATACTTCTTGGAACTATAAGTTATTTAGAAGTGTATTGTTAAATTTCCAAATATTTGAGGGATTTTCCAGCTATCTCTCTGCTATTGATTTCTAGTTTAATTCCATTGTGATCTGAGAACATAGTTTGTATGATTGCTCTTCTTTTAAATTTATTAAGATGTGTTTTATGGCCCCAAATGTGGTCTATATTGGTGAATGTCTCCTGTGAGCTTGAGAAGAATGTGTATTTTACTGTTGTTGGGCGGATTATTCTATTAATGTCAATTAGATCAAGTTGATTAATGGTTTGGTTCAAGTCATCAATATTCTTTTTGATTTTCTGCCTGACTGATCTATTGATTACTGACAGAGGGATGTTGAAGTCTCCAAAATAATAATGGATTTGTCTGTTTCTCCTTTTGATTCTATCAGTTTCATAACTCATGTACTTTGATGCCTTTGTATTAATCTCAGAGATGCTTAAGATTGTTACGTCTTCCTGGACACCTGACTCTCCATGTTCCAGAGTGATGTGTTACCTACAATGTCAGTTCTCTCTAATAGGTCCAACAAAAAGTTACTGATTTCCACTTTGCTCAGTGTCTACTTACTCTAAGGATGGGAGTGACAGCTCTCAAGCCTTTTACATTTTGGGGCTCCACACTTATTTTACATGATTCTCTCTGTCCCTACTCAGCAAGCTGGAGTCCTGGAAGCCTGCTTTGTTTCCAGGTACACTCCTCCTGGCCTTCCCTGGGTTACAGACTCCTCTTGCTGCCAATTTCCCCACATGGTTTTCTGCTCCACTCTAAGTGTTACAGAAGCATGGGGACCTCCTCAGCTTGAGCTGAGTAGAGCCAGTGCTCTCAGATAGCAGAAGGAATACCTGACATGTCAAGCATATGGTAATCCCTGCTGGTATTGAAGAAAGTCCGTCCTGCAAGAGGCAAACCATGAAAACTGGAGACTTAGCTGCTACAGTTAAAGATGCTCCTTTGGAATCCACTGAGCTGTAGAATGAGCCTCTTCACATCACAGGGAAGAGAGAAATGGAAACCTCCATGCGTGCCATGTAACAGACAATCCACAGATCCTGGCCTCTTAGACATGTCCTGACATCACTATGCTTGCCAAGTGATTGTATTATATGATAGTGTTGTGACAGGCTCAACAAAAAAGGGATTCCCAAGGACTTGAGGTGAGTCATACTTATATAATCTAAGAAGCAAAGACTTTGCAATCAGCCTCTGTGGCTGTACCGCCGGCCCCTTGCCTTTCTGAACAGCACTTCCACAGTACTTTTGTTTTCCCTTAACCATAGACAGGGCCATCCTGCAAAGACACAGACTCTCCTTTGTCTTGTAACATTTGAAATTATACAGCAGGGACTGTTTATTTTAACTCTGATTGATAAATAGGATGTGTATCATTTGGCTGTCCCTCTTAAATACTGATGCTGGAAATAAAGAAGCAACCTATTTATCCATGTGACATTTTAGGTACCAAAATGTCTGGAGCATCCAGATAAATCTGCAGACTTTCATTCATGGATGGTATATATCACGAGCTGTCAAGAGGTATAGCAAAGAATTGGCTCCCTGACGGCCCCTCTAAGGGCAAATATGTCCAGGGAGCAAAGGGAATTCTTCTTTCTTTTCAGATAGTGTCCATCCCATGCTTTCTGTAATGGGAGGGCTGGTAAGCTAGGAGCAAGGTGAAAAGTATTGCACTATGAAGCGACACAGGCTGTTATATACCTCTGGGGAAATGCTCTCCTTTAAGCTGGGTTTGAGATACTTCCTGGCTGATATTAGGCTTTCAAAGCTTTCTATAATTCTTTGAGTAAGCTACGCTCTGCCTGTCCCATGCTTCTTTGAGCCCCCAGGTAGGATGCTAAGGGGGCTATCATAGCAGGAGAAAATGAATGAGATTGGGGTAGAAGCTGGAGAAGGGAGAAATGAACATATATGGGAGATTAGGAGAGGCACAGAGCATGGATGGGGATGAGTGGGGGAGGCTGGAGAGAGGACAGGGTGACAATAACCAGAGGGCAATTCCTAGTGTTGGAAGTAGGAAGTGAGAGAGTGAAAAAGACAGTGGGTATTAGAAAAGTGGTCAGGGAGAGAAAGAATAAGGGTAAGAGATGCAAAAGGAAATAGGAAAGGAACGCTGAGTAAGAGATGTGTAAACACACACACACACACACACACACACACACACACACACACACAGCTATACAGGAGGGCTGGGCCAATAGCAGTCACTGACTACATTGGGCAAATAGAGCTATTTTTCAATAATTTGGAAATCATACCTTGTTTTGTTTAAGGGCACCTTTCTCTTTCATATGAGGGCAGTCCTTTCCCGTCACCACGGCTTTGATATCTGCCACTGGCACTGCAATTCATAAAAGAAAATGAAAGTAACTATACCATGTGAAAGCTTGGATGTCAATAAAGAAGCAGGACTAAGCACTGAGTCTGCTACCACAGTTGCCATTCCCAGAAACTGCTACAAAAAAGAGGAGAGTGGGGGAAAGAGGGAAAGAAATCAAGCAGTGTCCCAAGACTAGAAACTAAGGTACATTTTTATATTCTGGTACAAACAAACCCTGGGGAGAAAAAGCTTGTCTATAAGAAGAGTTTGGTTCACTAAAACAAAGACCTAAAAACAAACAAACAAAAACCACGCAACATAGTAGTGTTCGAACTGATGGCATTAGAAATAACAGTGCTCGTAACCGTAACCATGGTACTAACACTGATATCACAGAAAGCTTCCATGTGCCAGGAACAATGCCAAGAGCTTTACATACATCAGTATCTCTTGCTACAGCATCTGCATCTATACAGTTTCTGAGTTTTGGATAATGAGAGAAAGAAGCACTATCTCAAAAAATTTATCTGACTCTAAACAGTTCTGAACTCTCACTCTCCAAAATCTCTCTCTCTACCCTCTCATTAATTCTCACAACAATTCTGTGAGGCAGGTTTTATTATCCCTATTTTACGGACAACAAAACTAAACTCAATTAAATAAAAGGAACGTTCCTTTCTGATCGGGGACTCTGAAAATAATGCAGTTAGACAAAATGATGTTATCTCTTGTCTTACTCAAAAGTTGGAGGAAGATAAGAAAAGATACAGGAAGGCGTGTGCATTTAAAACTTTTAAAATATCAACTGAGAGACAGAAGACAGTAGGATGGTTTGGAATCTTAATTTAAAACAATGTAAAATCGTCGGTCCCTCTTTAATCCCTAAACCTTCAGTCCCACAAGGGGTTGTATTCCAGGAGCTCACACTGACCAGCGGAGACTCTCAAAGGTGGGAATTTAGGAACTGTTGGAACCAGGTGTGCTCAATTCCTTAGATTCCCTTAATGATGAAGATAATGACATAATTCATAGTTAAATATAAAATGATAGAATGTATAGAATATTAAAACAACAGAACAGGAAGGCCCTCTAGAAGCTAACATTTTTCAAGTACTTTATAATAAACAAACTTTGTCCAAATTTGTTGATACCCCTAGAGCTTTCTCTAACCCTAAGAAGAGGGGGTTTGTGATGGGCTTTCTCGGAAGCTCTGCAGGCTCCCCTGCCATCTGTCCTACTACATCTTGCAGTTTTGATTCTAGACCCTTTTAGCAGACATTTCTTGTGTTCATGAATGGCTGGCTGTCCTCTCCTAGGCACATAGAAAACTCCACCTCCCAGGAAACTTTGCAGTTGGGTGGGGGTCACGTGACTAGTTTTGACCAGTGAAATGTGAGAGGAAGTGCTTCTTTTCTAGTCTGAGGCATCCTCCATTCTGTCTTCTCTGGCTGCAGAAACTGAAGGAGGCACATGTTCCATCCAGATGGGGCAGCTGTGAGGAGGGAAAGCAGCCACTGGCCTGTGTTCCTGAGTGACTGTGTGGAGCAGTCCTTTGTCAACCTTTGTAAGTCATGTGACACAAGTGAGAAATAAACTTTCATTGTGTTAAGCCACTGAGATTTGGGGGTTGTTTGTTCCTACAGTATGGAGCAATGCAATCTCTTGTGGCTGGTGTAACCCTTACCTCAGATACTTTTTCTGCTTCTCTGCCTGGTCCCCTTTGCATTGGCATCTTCCTCTGGGTGGTCCCTATGATTCCTGAACCTACCTTTGACCACGAGCCCTGACTTCAGTTTTCCTTCAATCCACTTTCATAAGCAAAGGTCGGCCTGGTTCCCCTCAGTGGCTGATCTGGAGGAATCACTACCCTAGGAGGGGACATTTGGACACACTGGGAAGTTGGTCAACTTTTCAATGGAAAATCCATCATTGAAGTGAATGTGTGATATAATTAGCAAATCCATTCAAGGAAAACAAAACCTCAAGCCTCAAACAGAGTTTGAGTCACAAGTACCTCATACAAAGTCTTTTGTCATAATACATAGCATGGTCAGTGAACTAGAGAGAGAGGTAAGTTACCCCTTTGGCTTTGAAAACTCATCACATGGAATGGGACAAGAGGAATACCAAAGTCTGTCATGGGGCAGCCTTCAGAATCTCCAATGCCTTCAGAAAGGGCTCTTTCCCATGGGTTTTGTGGCAGTACATATTTTATGTTTTTTATATGCATTGTCCTCTGTCCCAGAGACAAGCTGCTGTATCACTCATAGGATGAAGACTAAAAGGAAAACACAAAATTCTAAAAGTAGCTTTTAAAGGTTGCTTTTTGCATAGTTTGTCTCTAGCTGCACCAGATGATTAGGCACAGGAAGGCTCAAATGCTGTCCTCTGTATTCTCAGGAGCAGAGAGAGACGGGTCACACGCACATCTCCTGAATCGCACTCTAAGGAGGCAGCAGGGGCTTCTTGGTGAAGGCCTTGGATAAGGCCTTTTTGTGTGGAAGAAGATAAAGAAGTGTGGTCCAGAGATGTGAGAACCAGGATGGTTCCCGGTGGAAACATCCACACTTATCTCCTGGGGCATGGATTCATTTTTTTCAATGCTTTTTTCATTTGGACTGGATTGAGATAATCTTAATTTAACACTCCCGTTTTACAGATGGGGAGACTGAGGCCTAAAGAGAGGAAATCAATTATGCAATGTCACACAGCTAGGGGGTCGGAGCTGAGTTTAGTGCTTTTTTTCTACTCCATGCACCCTTGCTAGGCCACGATTTCTCTCTGTGCTTGGAAGGTGGCGGCACCCCAAATCATTCTGAGCACGGCCCCAAATGTAGTTTAATTGTGATTTAAAACAAAAATGCCACTGAAAAAGTAAATGTGGCCACGTTGATGAAAATAGTTTCAGCTTTCACCATTGGGAGCCACACTGAGGCAGAAACCATCTCCAGGAAGTAGCTGGTAAGTCTTGAGCACCTGCTGTGTACACAGCTCTACAGTAGAAACTACTGCTGAGGTATGAAGAAGGGACAGGCTGATCCCAGGACAGGTGAGTGAAGAATCCAGTCTCTCTAATCTGGTGGGTCAGCCATGTAGCCTAGAGTGGTGGGAAGGGCGGTGTCTTTGGAATCAGAGAGCTGGGGTTGGAATTCTAGATCTACCTACTGGCTCTACCACTTTGGGCTTAAGTTCTCAGAGCCTCAGCGTCCATGTCTGCAGTGTGAAACGATAACATTATCTATCTCAAAGGACTGCTCTGAGAGTTGACTCCTAACACCAGAGCCAAGCTCATTGCTGGCTTTTAATCTAGGCAGCATGGATACAGTCATGGGTGACAATCCAGGCCGTGAAATTAGATGGCTGCAATTCCGGTCTTTGCTCTATTTACTAACCCTGTGACTTTGAACACGTTTACTTAGTCATTCCGTACCTCAGTTTCCTCATCTGTAGAATAAAGACAATAATATCTACCTCTTCGGGTTGCTGGGAGAATAATTTACATTAAGCTCTTAGCACTGTGCGCGGCATATAGTAAGCACTCCATAAACATCATTTGTAATTATTCTTGTTATCAATAATGAAAGTTAATTCTCTCTGTAGATGGAGGGACTGAATTGTTCGCTGTGCTTGTGGGGCGAGAGGGGACGTAAGGGGACGTGGACTTTCATAGTTACTGACAATAAAAGGGAAATGAGAAGAGAGACTTCCTAAACTTTTTGGGAAGAAAACAGCTAAGGAGAGGCCCTCAGTGTTCACTCACAATAGCTGAATTATGATGATTTCCTTACAGTAGTTGATTTATCAATATCTCAATGCTCCACACTGAGTAGCGGAAGGTGGAAGACAATCTCGCCCTTGGTCTCAAGAGAGGGCAGTGGTACGCAGCAAGAGCAAAGGCACTTAGCAGTAATTACAAAGAAGTCTCATTTTTCCAGGGGTATAAGGTCTCTGAGTTTTAAAGGCTGCAAGAGGGTGGCTATTTTGCTCTAGGCAGAATGTGGAATTGAAATTAAATGCAACCAGGCAGCGGGTCTGAAGCAGCAAACTTCAGTTTCCCAGGCCAGGGCCTTCTGTCTCCAGCACAGTAAAGCTTCATCTCACTTCCTTACATGACATACCCCCTCCTCTGGCAGGCATGTGCGGACGGGTACGATCTCACCAACACACGCACACACGCACACCCTCCCACGTGCACACATCTGCACAAGTACGCGTTCTTGGCTCATCTTGCAATGGATAAGCTGTTACGGAGCATCTCTGTGGAACTTTGCACTTCTAGATTTCAAAGACCACAGAGGAAAGGAGTGGACAGGAGTTTTGGAGGCATTGTCAGAAGAGAATGCTGCAACCCTCTTCCAGAACCAGCATCCCTTGGTGGCCACTGCCAAAAGCTGCCTGGAGATTTGCAACTCTGGCCTTATTCTCCTGCAACCACCCTGGCAAGCTGGATCTCCCCTGGCATCAGCACTGCTGGTTCCTGGCTAGCCATTTTCACCCTGGGGTTGAGGGTGAGGGTGAGGGTGAGGCCCTTTGTGGGGTTGGGGGGCATCAGCCCTTGGGCAAGCCCAGGAGCTGCCCGTACACAAGGCTCCAGTGCTACCTCGCCCTTGAGCCTTCTCTAAGAGCAGGGCTAGCAATTCCTAGGCAACCGGCCAGCTAGCATGGGGGTGCTGTGCTCATGCACAGCAAACCCACCCGCCAAATGCCTATCTTTGGGTTGAGAAGTGGATTACATCTTTATAAACATGGGGATAAATAATAGCCCAGTGAGTGGGGTGCTGATTCACTGGGACTCATGGGGAAGGAATGAGCCAAGCTGTTGTTTGCTCTGTCCTGACCACGTTCCTTCTCTTGGCCAGGCCAAGAATGGCTGCAGCGGATCTCCTACAGAGCTGCTGGTTGCTTCGACCAACAGTAACCTCTAACTCTTTTCATTTAATAGCTGCAGAGCAGTGATTCCACATCACTGGCCCTGGTCAGTTCCTAGTTCATGGGGGAGTTTTCACCAGTGAGTTTTCACTAGTTAATTGCAAATGCAGGAAAATGAGGACACTGGTGTGGGTTTTCATAGAGCTAATTTAATTCAGCAGAAGGGAGGTCCTTTATTCCAAGATTAGGTCCTTCTTACCATTGTGTGTGTGTGTGTGTGTGTGTGTGTGTGTGCATGATCAAGAGCTCTCTTTTTTATGAAATAACTGTGATATTAAATTTTAGTTAGACTTTATTTTTTAGCAGACTTTTTTATTTTTTTGCAAAAATTAAAAGTTGGCAGCACACAATCAATCACTTCCAAAAATACTTATTGGTGAAAGCCACATTTGGGGAAATCATTATGTGGAGTGTACAATAATATCTAGCTTAACTGCTCTCAAACTGGCATGCACATCAGAATCGCCGGGAGGGTCTGTTAAAACACAGACTGCTGGTTGCCACCCCCAGAGTTTCTGGTTCAGCAGGGCTGGGAGTAGGGCCTGAGAATCTGCATTTCTAATAAGTTTCCAGCTGACACTGCAGCGGATGGTCTGGGGTCCCGTGCTTCGAGAACCACTGGACTAGCCTGTCCGTGCTGGGGTGGGGAGGCTTTCTGAACCTTGGAGGGAGGGTCTTCATTCACAGGCAGAGGCCAGGAGCCCCCAGGGCAGGAAGGCACAGAACTGCCCCAGCCTCTCTGCAGCAGTGGATTGCAGATTTTTTTCTCCCCAAGTTTGGGAGCCAATAATGTGGGCAGTTCTCCTAGGAAAGGAGATGAGATTGCTTTCTGAACTAAATGACACTACAAAGACAAGATTGTCCCATTTTTAAGCAGGAGGAAGAGGGAATGTTCCAGGCTGTCTGCCTGAGATGTCAGCACAGAGTCTGAATGTGTCAGGAAATTTCCCACTCATGGTTTATTTTGATGGCTGTGAGTGGTAAGGAAGGCAGTCCAGGTTTGACTTCCATGGGCCTGGGGTGACAGGAGGGGAGGAGTGAGACTCAGCGTAAGGACTCCATCTGGGACACACTTAACACTGCAGGGTCAAGGTGACTTTTAAAAGTTATTTTAAAGTGTTCTGAATATTTTCTCCCTCTGATTTCCCTACCTGGGTTATCTTCTGGCTCTGCGTTCACTTTATCTCATTTCTCTTCCAAATTAGCTGTGCATTTCACTGTTTCAGTGCTTCTGTAATACTTTGTTTAATTTGTACACTTAACACTGCCAAAAAACCTGGTACCTGGTTTCGTGTCAGGCTAAAAGAATCCTGCACATTACTGCCACCTCAAAAGCGTGCATGCTAAAACAGACAACATGCAGAAGAAGCAAATAAATATACATAATGTATAATTGGAGTAATATTTAGCTAAGAGTAGAGTGCAGTTGATCATAAATTTTTTAAGTGTCCGAGTTACTTCTCTGATGTAAGCTGGGAAGCTAGACATTTCTGGATCTGCGGCTAACTCTGTGTTAGCATTATGGGATATGCTGAACTGTATGAATCCATGTGGTAGGGTCAAGCATGTGAGTTCTGCAAAATTACTTTGGGTCATCAGAAAAAGGCAATTGACAGAAACAGGTTTATGTTGTTTTTGTTCCTTGAAAAAGCACCTGGATGAGTAATGTATAAAGTGGACATTTGAACCTCAAGTTTATGTCTTTGAGGGAAGACACCTAAGCATCCCTTTCACGTTCTTCCCTGTTCAATCCCCAACCCCAAATCCATCACGTTCCTGTACCTGATAAAAATAACAAACGACCACCATTCAGGCCTCCTGCCCGGAAGCGCCACTTACGTTTGTCCTGCAAGGAATCGTGGGGCACTTCTCCCTGAGGACTTTCTTCCAAGTCTCCATAGTGCAGGACCTTGTGATTTGGCGAAAGCCGACAATACCAAAACTTGTCTGAGGGGAAAAAAACAAGTTTACAAGGTAAATGATTCTGGTTTCCAAAAATATCAGCATGGTTATTTCCTAATACTCTTGCCTGGAGGAACCAGCCACTCATTTTATAATATTTTAAACCTTGAAGAAGAATGAATTCTAGGCCCCTGGGCAGTGAGCCCCTTTTTGATTTTGATATTTAGGTATCACCTGTCCTGCCTGGTATACATTTGGTAATCATTGGGAAAGTCATCAAATCCTCCCAGCTCAGTGGCAATAGATCATATGAGGTGGTCGTTTTCAGAGGGTATGGGATTAGTATGCATAACCAGCACGGGAACTATTCCTTATTCATTCAAGCCTGACAAAAGAGGGAGGGAGATGTAGAAAAAAACAGCTTTCTTGGAAATCTTCTGCTTCCACTTTTCTCTCTGAGATTCTAGAAAGTTCTGTACAAGGCTGTATTTCAGGTGACACCACAAACCCCTACCTCAGAAGCTAACACACAGATTAATGAACAAATTGTCAGGACACTATTGATACGCAAACGGGTGGGATTCATGAGAAAATCATCTAAATAATGCAGGGATTTATCCAAAGTCTGAGGATAGTCACAATCATTCTCCTCTCCAATTCCTAGAATTTAGTTCTCTGAACAGGCATAACCAGGGCCTTAGTATCATTCTTATAAATAACTCCCTCAACTTTACCCCCTCTGGCTCCCAAATGTAATAAGAAATTTTGAGTAAGTCTGTGAGGCAGGGAGAAAGAGGCAAAGAGAACTGTTTATGGATAAGGAACTAGAATTGTGATAGCAATGTCTGTGCAGCTCTCAAGACTCTGCTTAGATGCCACCCTCTCCGGGAAGCCCTCTTTGATTGCCATAGCTGAAGGGCCTCTCCCCTTCCTCTGAGCTGCTCCACCATCTTCTTTGCATCACTAAGTCAGCTTGGACTGACGTGATTGGTGCCCACATGTTTACCACCTTAGTATTCCCCATTACTGATCCTTGGTAAGCAGCTTGCCCTGGTGGGTGTACTGTGAATAATTACTTCTGTCAGTAATAATAATTACTGACAGAAGAATAGGACTCCAGGCCTGACAGTGTGGAAAAGGTAGGGTCTCTCTGATGGCAGCTACTGTTTTCATAACTGCGATATTCCCTTGGCACAGTGCCTGACACATACAAGTTGCACGCTTGGTGCTGGCTAAGTTGAAACAGGAAGACTCAAGGAGACTTGGTCAAAATGCCTAAAGCACAAAGCATCTAACACCTATAACAACCCTTTTCATTTTCCTTACCATTATGCAGTTGGTACACTCTGTGACCTTGGCCAAGTCACCCCATTATTATGCCTGAAACACAAATTGTTTTGAAACCAGTCTGACCAAAAAGCTCCCCATTACATTTTGAGAAAAGTGGTTTTCTACCTAAAATTTCTTTCACTGCAAAATCACATTTTAACTATGCGACTCTTTTGTTAGAAAAAGAGTTTTAAGAATGAAAGTAAAAGCCACACAGTGAACAAAGAAAAGGCCCAAAGTGGATCCACAAAAGGCACGTGTCTCCCGCACCGCTAGCTAGGGTTTGAGAGTTCTCGCCTGTAGTCAGAACACGGCAATCCACGTGTTTAAAGGGATCTGAACATCAGTGGAAAAATTTGAGAGGGATAAAAAGAAAAGAGTAATTGAAGAGCTATGAAAACATCTTGAATGGCTGAATTTTCAAAATTATGTTATATATACACATCAAATGTGGATCCTTTTTCTGGGAGAGAATTTCAAAGGGAGAAAACACAGTTAATCCCTGAGTAATTCACAGCCATTTTAATTAGGCAAATGTGTGATTAGCGGTTTTTCCACGAGGAGAACACATTTGTGAATCTGACTTGTAGCTCACAATAGGGATTGTGGATTCCAGAGGAGGAGGCCACGCGTTTTGAGCATGGAGGGCGCTCTGGGGGCCAGGCCTGGCAGGGATGGGGGCTCCCCCGCCTCCCCACAGGGTCCTATCAGCTGATCTACAAGGCTGTGATGACCATCAAGCCAGCCGGAGAAATCTGCTGTAATGCTTTCCTTCCCCTGCTGCCTCTGGCTAAGTGAGTGGCTGAAGGGTAACACAGGCTGGGAAGGAAGTCACTGAGATGTGGCACTGAGATGTGGCACTGAGATGTGGCCAGCTTACTCTGAGTAAGATCTTAGCCTGCACTATATAGGAATCCTTTGCTTCACAAGCTGGGGTCAGCTCCAGGGTTTCGCGGTGGTACTGGAAGCCAAAGAGTCAATATGGCACAATCAAAGGAGATCAATTATACTCAACAGATTTTCAGGAGAAAGATGAAGAAATTTAAGTGGCATACAGTAGAACACAGACAGATTTATCGTGGAGTCATAAGTTGCACAACTTAATATTCATGTGTAAGAGATATTGATTTGTAAGACTTCAAAACATCTTGCCGCTATACTTTCAGGATAAATTTGTTTATCCAGTGAATATTTGCAGAGCATCTGCGCTGCACACAGCACTTTACTGAGTGTAGCACAAAATCATTAGCAGGGAAGGCTGACGTGAGGGACAGAGCCAGGGTGCTCAAGGACATGGAGTTCCCTCAGCTAAGAGAAATACATTATTCTGGGGCTGGGAAGTAGGGACCGGGACAAATCAGCAGCTCTGGCTATGTCGTAGGCAAAAATATGAAAAGGGAAGGTCTCTCGTGCAACATGTTCGTACATTCATGAACTAATGGAGAACCGTGGCTATTTATCAGGATTCCAGGGCAAAAGAACCATCTTCTGTGCAAAGTTGCCATCCATGTTTATTTACAAGAAACCCAAAAGGCTACCCGGAACTCTGCCGTAGCAATATCTGGTGTGAAGCTGCCGGAATTTCCTCCATTCAGAACCTTAAATTCCTTTGACTGACATGACGCCACCCTGCCCTGGTTTTCCTCCGACCTCTGGCTGATTCTTTTCTTATCCTACACAGGGTTCCTCTTCCTCTGTCTACAGCTAACATGGTGAGGAGCGGAACGGTCCACACTTCGCTGATGTGAGATAAGAGTTCAGCTCCTGCCCGCCCAATAGGAGGTCTCGCATGGATGACACAATATTGGGAACAGGGACCAAAAAGGCTGAGAAACTTGTCTTGATTCCTAACTAAATAGGGGGGACACTCAGCCTGGATCTTTCTCAGGGTGAAAACTGAGAAAGTCCTCCTTAGCTCTGGAAGGTGTAGAGGTTGTGTCCGTCTCGAAGAAAGAGCTGCGATACTGGAGAGCAGAGCTGCCAGCTCCAACCAGCCCCGCACAGACGTGTTTGTTGGGCGAGACAGTTTCATTGTCAGCCACCGGCAGGAGCGTCACTTGCAGTTTCTTTTATGGTAAGACAAATGTGTATTTTCCTTTCAAAACCCAGCGTGATGTTACTTGTTCTTCAATCCCTCTGGGCAATGAAAGAGTGAATTGCGTCACTAAAAGCAATTAGCAGGAAGCAGTGAGAACATTATCAAAGATTGTTTACTGGCATTTAGGAGAAAATAAGAGTTAATATGGAAGTCCTCCAGTCAATTACAAATGAGAGTATGTTAATAGACATCTCTTCATCCCGAAACCCAAAACTGAAAATATCGAGATCCTTCCTTCCTTCCTTCCTTCCTTCCTTCCTTCCTTCCTTCCTTCCTTCCTTCCTTCCTTCCTTCCTTCCTTCCTTCCTCCCTCCCTCCCTCCCTCCCTCTTCCCTCTGTGTGTGTGTGTGTGTGTGTGTGTGTGAAGGATCACAGGAAAAAGCTCGTTTCAGAGCTCAGCAGCCTGGTGGGAAGGGTTGATTAAAGCTATTTCCAATGTCACATAGATTATTATGGAGTTAACAACCACTGACAACTGCAATTTTTGCAGTGCTCTATCCAACAAAACTTCCCACAATGATGGCAATTCTCCGTATCTGCTTTATTCAATAGTAAGAAAACAAATCTTAAATTTTCTTTCATTTTAATTAATTTTAAACAGCCACAGGTACTATATTGGACAGTGCAGCTCACTGTCTGTCTCTATCATCCGGGCTGAAGACAAGGTTAGGGCTGGCCACCAGGTTTTAGGGGAGACCAGCAAGCTGAACAATAGCTACCCTTGGTGAGTGCCAAATGCTGGTCAGTCCGGCGAGGCACAGGACACTGCAAGAACCAAGTCCCAGTCGACTCTGCTGTGGAAGTAGGGGACAATTTGTTTTGGGGGCAGAGCCCACGGTTGGCAGCTGGCTGCTGACCCAGAGGGCCCTGAGAGCCCTGTGTGAGGGAGGCAGGGTGGTCTTGATTCCTAACTAAAGGACATCTTTCTGAAGGACACCTTTATTAGAGCACTTCCATCACAATTTTGGATTTTTCCTAGGTTAACCTAAAATGGGCCAAGTGTGTTCAGGAGAAGGTCCACTTCCTGCCTAGGGTGGAAACTTTCCAAGTCACAAAAGGAGCCCACAAGAGGGACACAGAAATGTGTTTGAAGGGGAATGTCATCTTCCAGGTGATGAGAGCCAAGATTTCTTTTTTTTTGTACAGTAAAAAGATTTATTTATTTATTGCACAGGGAATGACGACTACAGACACAAATGAAGGTCATTCTGCCTTTCACACCTTCCTCATCTGACTGGGCTTTCTTCAAAACCAGAGACTCGTGTTTTGACAGAATTCTGCCCCCCTGCGCACAGCTGTTCACGGCACATGACTCCAGAGCCCCCGCATCCTTTTTTGTTTAATTTCAGAATATTACGGGTGTACAGACATTTAGGTTACATATATCCATCCATACTTTTAAAGATGGCTTGGCCTAACAGATGCCTTGGAGTCACACATCTGGCCCTGATGCTTATTAGCTGTGGGGCCTTGGCCTAATTATAAAATCCTGAGGGATGTTTGTTCTTCATGTGAGTAGTGGTCGTAATTATCTGCATAGAACGTATGTATATAAAGCTTGCATCCTGCCTCTTCCACGGAGCTGCCTCTCGGTAACATTTGTGCCTTCCTGCTCTTCCAGCCAGCAAGAGACTCTCTTGTCCACACTACTGGTCCCTCCACCTTTTGGTTGGGCACAGTGATGATCTGTTATTCTATTCCATTGGAAAGTGCCTTTTGCCTGAAAACAAACTGGTTTTTCTTCATTCGAAAATATGTATTTGTTTGTCTGTATCTCTTTTTGTCAGAATGAGTTATGATCAGATTTAATAAAATATTAAAAGAAAATTTCAGTCAAGGACAGAGGAAGGTACAACCTGCCTTCCCCAAAAGTGTTCTTTTGGGGAAGGCAGGTTGTACCTTCCAGGTGGTCCCTGTGCCTGAGCAACCTGTTTGGCTCTAGGTGATCTGACCCGGCCACAAGGGCAACGTGAGTGAGGCTCACAGGCCTCGCGGGCGGAAGAGGGATGTGCACGTTTTCCCAGCCTTGAGTTCCAAGATGTTTGCCTTGTTAGCACTTAGAGAGGGAATGCTGGTCAGGGAAATGGACAATGTTCTCAATGAGAGGTTTCATACTATCATTTCTCTTTTTTTTGTTATAAATATTTTAGTATTTTATTTAAAATTTTACCGTAAAAGAATTTTTCTTTTTTTTAATTTCAGGAAATCATTTTTCAGTATGACTCTCCAGTGTTTAGCCCTGGGCTCTTGTCAAGACCATTGAATGTAAGTGACTGTGAAAGACCTTAATCTCTGACATAGGAGGCAAGTAGGGGGCAGTTCTTGAGTCTACAGATTCCTATGAAGCCAACAGTGTCCCTAACACAGGCAGCTTCTGGGATTCCATCTTAACTGTCCCCTGTAGGAGGCCAGGGGACACAGGAGCAAGACCGTTTCTGCTGTGAAGGACCCCACAACCAGGGCCTTCTACTCCGTGGTAGGGCAGAGGAGTGACGCGGGCATGTGACCTCCAGTGCCGCTCTACCTGCTGTGCTCAAAAATCCATATGTTGAGGAACCATGAGCTAAAATCAATAACCGATATCATGAATGAATGTTTGGTAATCTGCCAAACACCATGCTAATTGCTATGGATGTATAATTTTATTTAACTTATACAGCTCCTTGACACGGGAACTAACATCACCCTCATTTGACAGAAGAAGAAAGAGAAACACAGAGACACTGAGCAGGGTGTCCACGGCACCTCTGTATTAACTCTTACCTGTACCTGCAGCTAGTGAGTGCACAGCAGGGACTTGAACCCAGCTTACTCTGTTGCACCAGATTTGCTGCCGACCAGTTCTAATGTGGTCAGAGCCCCCAGAAACCCAGATTTATGTATGTCTGCATCACGCTACCCAAGTGGGCAGAATTGCACAAGGGACAGGCAGCACGATGGGCAAGTATCAACTCGGCGATCTTCCAGCCAACCGAGGCCCAGCCACGGCCTCTGCATTTGTTCCTCCGCTTTGCAGGTATGTGAGACTGGAAGCTCTTTCGTATTTGCCCTTGTAAAGTTAACTCCTTAAATCTACTCATCTGCGTCCTATTCGCTGTCGGACAGGTTTAGAGGGAGCGTGGCCGTGGCTCCTGCACGGGGGCACCTGCTCTTTAACCTGTGATGCCACCTGGCAGGCAGGTGCTCAGCCCAGTGTGAGGTTTCAGGTGGACGTGCATCTTTCTCCAGCGCATTAAAGACGGCACGTTCTCATTAATCTGTGTAGATCTAAATGGAATGTTTTGATGGGGTGATAGGAAATCAATTTCAGCACAGTCTGCTTTGAATCCCTATTTTTAAGCACAGAGCCAGTCACCAGATTTCAGTTCCATTTACCAAATACCAAAAAGCCTTTCTTTCTGCACTCCGAAGGATGATTTTGTATTAAACACAGATGGTCATGCTCCGTGGGGAGCTGAACTAATAAATTTATAATCTAGATGCTAATTTTTTTTTTGTTCATGAGGTAATTCATTTTTAGAAAATCGGAAAAAATTTACAAATCAGGAACGAACATTTTTTTAAACCCAAAAAACCCTGTAATTATTATATTCCATCTAGAAACAGGGTTATTCTGGTAGAACCTACTCATTGCAACCTAGAACAGGAAATTTCATGGTAAAATAGACCAGAAGGTTAAACTTGGTTCTAAGGATTCAACTTCCAAAGGATTCTAGCTGGGCGTCGGTGGAGGCATTGGGTGGTATATCTCAATTTGCCATTCCCCACCCCCAAAATTCTGTGCCCTTTGCCCAATGTCAAGTCAATGTAAACTTTATAGATCATCTCAATGGGACCATATACCCTGAACATTGATTTTTTCCAAAGGCGGCGAAGTGATCAGGGCACACAACTGACTCTGGCTAAATGGCACCACCCACTAGCAGCCAAGTGGCACTCAGTGGCAAAGAATGGGTCTTCAGGTCCATGGGTCTTCTAGTAATTCTGGACTTTGATTCTTTCTGGGCATGGGCGGGGACTAGAACTTACCTGGACTGCTCTTCCTGTCCCAAATAACAACACTGTATGTCCCACCCTTAAAGCAACACCACGCCCCTGTGGTTCTCCAGGGAGCAGGCCACTGTTCACCCTGCCCAAGTCGGGAGTGTCTCAGAAGCAATGCCTACCTTGCCTCCGCCGGGCGTTGAGTTTCCTAAAGCAGGTCCCTTCCACAAGGCGGTTCAGGCGTTGTTGTTTGATCAGCTCTAAGATTTCTGGCTGAATCTTCTCCTTTAGTTCCCTGTTGGAGGAGAAACACATATTCCGCAGCATGCCTCAAGAGACAGTGCAAGGTTAGTGCGCATCATGGACAGATGGGCAGGGGAGTGCGAACTGCATGTTTTCCTGAACATTCCGGTATCTCCCAAGTCGGAGCTTTAGAGAATCGTTTATTAAGTGTCAGCGGCCAGGGTTATCTGTTACAATAACACTATAGATTCTCTGACATTTACAAAATATCCACAAAAGCACCAGCCAGTGATGTTTTTCCAGAATAAAGTGTCCTGAGAAATGTCTTCTTTTGTTTTATGAAGCCACAGATACAAACTTATGCAAAAATCCATTCAGCTCTGCCAAGACAATAAATCCTTGGTCGAATTTTTATTTTTATTTTGCAGAAGGTAAACTCCCAGACTACATTTGTGATCTGATCAAACAGGAATATTGGGAAACCATGTGGTTACTATTCCACAGCAAACACTGTATCATGAGCAAACCACAGGACAACCTTTGCTTTCAATTCCATCGCTCACAAATGGGAACAACAACACTGCCCCAGATTCTAGCCCACAGAGATTGAGATAATGATGGGATAAATTAAAGATTATTTGCATCTTGTCTCAGGCTAATATGATGTAATTTAGTTTGGGATGCACTATGCTACGAAGTAAGATGATAGAGTGAAATGGTTTCCAAGTCTTCTTCTTTTTTTTTTTTAGAGCACAGAGTTTTATCCTAGGACATTTTATGTAGTGTACTAGCATTTGAGTCTTGCCAGAGATGTTCTAGTTGAAGCTGGACAGGGAGACCCAGAGCTGCCCCCTCAGAGCAGTGCTGCAAGTATTGGCTAGAACACAGATCTAGAAGTCAGAAGGCTAGTGTTTCAGTCTAGGCTTTGCCCGTGAGCATTTCACCTGTTTCATCTGTCTCAGTTTCCTCAACTGTAAAATGGAGATAAGAATCTTTCCCGGAAACTGCTATAACTCTCAAGGGAGACAGTGTGAGCACAAGTCTCTGTTAAACATTGAGCGGAAAGGTGAGGCGTTACTGAATTTGCTTTGGTAATATTCTCTCCTTTCCTTGGGCCAAACAATCCATATGCCCAAATCACACTGCAGTCAAGCCTCACATATTCATCAGCTTCTGCCTTAACTCTGGACTTGCCCTGACCCCGGGATGCAGGCAACCTGTTCTCACGTGGTGCTCCCTTCCTAGGTGGGAAAGGTACTCATGCTTAGTATGCGCCGCCTATCAGCCAGGTAGTGCACTGTGCAATTTTAGCTTAATTAACCTCTTTCCCCACCTCCCACCCACAAAAACCACTTTTGGGGATAGGTATTAATAGCATCATTCCCATCTTACAGATGGGGAAACAGCTCACAGAGGTTAAGTGTAGAATATGGGCACAGACTCAGGTCGTCCTTGTGCAAGTTGCTTCTATTTATGCATGAGAAAAAAAAAAAAAGGAAAAATAGTTGCATAAAAGGATCTGGCCATCTACCAGAGTATTCTAGTTATTCTAGTACTCCATTAATACATTTTTTGGAGGCTTAAATGGCATCAAACATCTTGTCATTTGATACTGCTCCAACTGAACATCTATAAAGCATGAAATGGAAATTCAGCCTTAATAATGCAGCTTGGAATGTTTGTAAAGTCTTCCCTGTGCAGGTCGCTTAGGGTCTCATCTCAGGCTTTCAGATCACTAAAACTATTATCAGTGTTCGGCTCTTGTAAAATGGACTCAGTACATTGCAGCTCTGAAGAGCCCTGCACTGAATGGAGAAGAAGGTGGGGCACCGCCAGGCCAGTCACCCGTGGCAGTAAATCACTGTCCTGACTTCCAAGTCTGGGCGACTGGACAGAGAGGAAGGACGGCACCCGGAGACAGAGAAAACACGGGAGAAAGAGTTTTGGAATTTCATTAGTTCTTAGGTCATCGATGTATCTTTAGATAATGGTTTTGCTAGGCTCAGGCTGAGTTATTAAAATGGAGAGGAGGATGCAGAGATGAGGACCAAAAGGAGGAAATAATGGAAAGAACTTCTGAGTAATCCTAATTGATGCTGAATGACTTTTTAGTGTAAGACTCAGACGTGCTCATCATGACACACTTCATCACAGGACCATCTTCTGGGACACACTATCAGGATAAGTAAATCTGCTGCTGTCAGAGCCATCGGTGTTTTGTTAAGAACCCCCAGGGATTCCAACACATAATCAGGCAATGAGGAGAACAGGACAGCTTTTTCTCTTTCTAAGCAATTTCTTCTTCTTTCCTTGCAAATGAACTCGGTAGCTATGAAATTCACACATATTAGGAAAACATAAGAGATCTTTACACTGTGTTTCTGTGGCTGAGCTCTGACCTCTGGGGTAAGTCAGATAATAACACCATGGGCTATAACTAGGGTTTGAAATTCTCAGCTTGGGGTCAGGGAGGCTGGGGTCATGGGTTCACTGGCTTTGCTTTGATAAATATCCTCCTAATTCTACCCCAAAACCTTGCAAGTACATAAAAGGAGGAAGATTAAAGGAGGAAGGATTTAAGGAGTGTGTGAAGAGCAATTCAAAGTCTAGCACTGTTTCTGGAAAACAATTTCAAGTCCAGGCTCAACAAGGTCACTGCCACACAGGGAAGGCAGACGGCACCATTAGACTGGTGAGATTCCTTCTTTGACTCGGGGTCTGCCCAACTGAGCTGCTACCCACTGTGCATCTAGAACAGGGGTTGAAAAACTTTTTATGTAAATAGCCAGATAGAAAATACTGTGGGCTTTGTGGGCCATATGGTTGGTATCTGTCTCAACTACTCAACTCTGCCCTGATAGAGTGAAAGGAGCCATCGACAGCTCATAAACAAATGGGTGTGGCTGTTTTGAAATAAAACTTTATTTACAAAGACAGGTAGTGAGCCAGGCTTAGCCCAAGAGCCATAGTTTTCTGACCACTGATCTAGAAGGGTAACATGGAGACTCTGGGCTAAGTGGCAGTGTCAGTTTCATGGAAATTAATCTGTTTCTGTCTCAACACTGGTGTGCCTCAGGTCTTAGTCCCTGAACCTCTCCTGTTCTTTACTTTATAGACTCATGGCTCTAAATGTACATACTTTAGGCTGACAACTCCCAAATGTATATTTCCAACCTAGACCTCTCTGCTGAACTCCAAACTCATTTGTCCGACTGCCTACTCAGATGTCTCCTAGCTTGAATGTGTCCAAAGCTGAACTCCTGAGCCCCTTGTCCAGACCTGCTCCACTCACTCTGTCCTTCAGTTGTCGACTTCTCTTTCTCTCATACCCCACATCTAATCAGTCAGGAAATACTACTGTCTCCTATCTTCAAAATTTATCTGACTTTTAGTAGATACTCCAGATTGGAAGTTACTGAAATACCTTCCTCACTGATCTCCCTGCTTCCAAGCTTGCCTGCTTAGAGTCTATTCCCAATACAACAGCTAAAGGGATTATTTGAAAACCTAAGTCAAACCACATCTGTTCTCTGCTCAAAACCCTCCAACGGCTCTCCAATACAAGGCCCTATGTAAGAGGCTCTCAGCTACCTTTCTGGCCTCACCTCGTATTGCTCTCCCCCTCAGTAATTCTGCTCCAGCCACACTGGCCTCCTGGTTATTCATCGAACACCCAGACCTTCTCCGACCTCAGGGCCTTACACTGGTGGCTCTCTCTGCCTAGAACACTCTTCTCCTAAATACCCACATGGCTTGTTCCCTTAGGCCCTTACATGTTTTTACTAAAATGCCCCCTTCCTAATTAGAGAGATCTACACTAACCACTCTACTTAAAATTGCAAACTCCTTCTCTTATCCTTCTCTGTGTTTCCATTGCATGTCTCTGGTCTTAAGGTACTGTCATCTTATTTACCATGCTGTCTGTTTTTCTCCCCACTAAAATATAATCACCATGGGGGTGAGGATTGTGTCTGTTCTCTTCACTGCTGAAACACCAACACACAGAGCAGAGGCTGGCGCATGGCAGGCACGCAAGAAATATTTGCCAAGTGTTTTAACACTGAACAATGTATAGCAGACCAGACTGTCCTACCTGCATTGCTTATGAGAAAGCTCTGAGTGAAGTCTTTGGTTGATCTTTAGCAAGAGTGCAGATTTGCAGGGTAGGGATCGGTTTTATTTCTGGCTCTAATTGGTTTTACTTTTTTCTTTCTCACCTGTTTCCACTGTATTTCTAAGACAAGGTGAGGTATATACAAATACATTGACAGTGTCAGTTTTACCATTTATATATTTTACAGCATCAAAACTTGTTAAGTTCTCTTTATAGACTACGAAGAGTGACTGTTTCTCTGAGTGGACATTATGTGCCAGCCGTATGCTAAGCGATTGTCATGCACCACTTTGTTGAATCCTCATAACAACCCAATGACGTAGACACTCTGCATTTTCAGAGAGGAGAGAAGCAGGCTTAAAATGGGTTACATAACTTGCCGAAGGAGCCACATTTGTCAGTGGTAGCTAGCACTGGAATCTGACAGCAGGTCTGTTGGCAACCTGAGTCCGGTGTCACACGTTTCACTTATCTGCTTCACCGCCGTTTGTCCTTGCATCTTCCCTTCCCCTCCATCGTGGTGTTAAATGACCTATTTTTGGACTCTTCAAGCTTTTTATATCCATTAACTTGGACTAATTGTGTGGATGGACTTATCATCCCTGTTAAGTCACACTAAATAGGAAATATCAAAACCCCCTCTTTGAAATAATTAATCAAGAGCTAGGAAATAAAACAGAGCTCCTTCAGCCCACTGAATATATTAATATATTCCCCCACAATATTTGGTCACATGTGGTTAATATTTTTCCTCCCAGGAAACATAAACATTTTATAACAACAAGGTGTGTGGCTCAAGGTGACTGTGTGGAACTGAGGTTTGCTGCCATGCTGTGTGGGAGCAGGAGAGTGCCATGGGGTCCGACAGGCCGCGGGGGTTGGGGGGTGGCCCTACGGTAAGTGGGGTTCCTTGATGGTGGTCAGGCCCCAGCCACATTGTCGTCCCTGTCTGCAAAGTGAAAGCTTCAAGTTGACAGCCTTCTAGGTGCCTTTCAGCTGTAAAATTCCAATATCCCAATCCCCAGCTTGGGTTAGATATGCCTCCTCTGTGCTTTTACAACAATCTATGTGTGCTTCCTGTATCCAAGCACTGAGCCCAGTTGTGGTAGCTTTTAAAGCCTGGGATAGTGGGAGATCAAGTGTCTCTGCATCTCTGCCTGTCCCCAGAACCTTGGGCAGGGCTTGGCATGTAGGAGTTGTTCAATACATGTTTGTTAAATGAATTAATGAATGAATGAAAAAGCGCACACGTGGTCTATTCCTTTCTCTTAGGCAACTTGGGTTTATCATGTGAGCCATTTTGGTAGCATTTAGACTTCATCTAACCCCACAATGAGTTCTTGTCTAGTAGATCACTCTAATAGACAAAACAGATCACTGAGGAATAGATGACTCTAACAGATAAAACATATCCCAGCTCCTGTCTGCTGTTTTCAGAGGCTGAGATAATGATTAAAGTGGTCCCTGACCTTCTCATTTAAATGCTGTGGCTTCGAGCAAATCTTTACGACTTTGATGCAACTATATATGCCAACGACCCCAGTGGGCCATGGTGCTTCTCAGTCCATGGCTGAGGGATGAGGCAAAAGCTACATCCAAACAGACTTCCTTTATATTTGCATTGCTCCTCCTTACATAAGAAATGTAAAGATTAAAAGAAAAAAAAAAAACAAATGTAAAGAAAAGAGCTTCTTGTAATAAAGGGAAAAGAAACTTCAGAATGTCACAGGCAGAGCCTTAGGAAGTGAAGATATAAAGCCAAAGCAGGAGCAAAATGTTCACACTTGACATGCAGTTAACATTCTTACTTGGAACAAAGTCATGATCAAACATTAATTTAGAATCACTTGGCCTTAACTGAAGTGATTCCTCAAGTCTCCCTTTAGGCTTTAAGAATTATTGTCAAAAGCGTAATAAAATGTCTTTGTGTTTACACATCTGCTGAAACAGATGTTATGGAATCCAGTGTTTCAGTGCTGTAGGCCGGGGGGTGGGAGAAGGAGTCACTGTCCCTCCTAGCAGGTAAGAAACTGCATCCCCAACGAGACAGTTACTTACCCGAAGTGCTTTCTGCTCAGTGTTTCTGGCTGTTTCCGTCTTCTGGCTGGGGACCAGTGCAAAACCCCAGCGGTGCCTCTAGTAAGGGCTGGCTGGTGCTTGCGGGGCACGACTCAGGTTTTGCAATGATGGAAGCCAAAGCCCCTTGGAAGCATTTTCCCTCCCCTGCTAACTGCATGCCAACTAATGTCTGTGTAGGGTCTACTCTGCAGTTTCTAACAGTACTTCTTATAATGTGAAAACAAACGTGCTGGTAGGGGTTATGGCTTGGCTATTGTCTTCTCAGACCTGTGCATTTTTTTGAACCTCATTTCAGTCTCTCACATGGCAGATCCAAGTTCAAGTCCCAGATCCTCTGGTTGTTAACAAGGTCCTCACCTCTCCAAACTATGTCCTAATCTTTGAATGGAAATGAGACCCGCCTATCTTATAGGGATGCAAGGAAATGAAATAGCATGAGGGATGCTTTGCAAATTGCCAAGCGTGAAAAATGTCAAATATTTGAGTGCAAGAAACAGAAAGAGAAAGAATCAGAAACAGAGAGACTACTACGCGTGTGTGTTGGGCAGGGGGACTGTGTGTTGAAGACGGGCTTCGGAATCCCACCTATGTTTGTTACGAGTTGGCTTCATGCGAAAGTTTAAAAGAAGCGGTGTCCAGTCTTCTGAGGACAGAATGAGAAGCACCTTTCCCTATTTCCTTCTCTTTAAAATAAAATAAAGGCTAATGAAACCGACCTAGCTCTTAGAAACAGGCAAGGGAAGATAAACAGCCCAGTTTTTAGAAAAGATGAAGCATGCAAAACAGTACTCAAGTTAGAGGTTCAGAACAATTTAAAATGGAGATATGTGAAATTCTGCAATGGTTGTAGATGCATGTGATGCAAAGTCCTGCAAAAGGGGCCCCTCCTGCCTCCCCACCGTAGGCCTGTAGGTTCACAGTCATGAGGACCAGCGAGCATGCTCCGATGCCAACCAGTGCCTGATCAGGGAGAAGATGGATCTCCTCCTCTGAAGGTCTTACCCCCACTCACTCGCAGTCACACTCTTTCCATCTGCATATTGCCTTAATTCTTGGTGGGCCTCATTCCGGCTGGATCAGACCATCTTGCCACTTAAAGGGCATCCACACGGAAAACAGTTTCATTGGCAAAAAAAAAAAAATTTGTTCCAAGTGTTGGCAAAGGCCCAAAACTTTTTAGCTACAGATTCCCAGAGAACTTGTCAGTAACTGGGTCAGTTCCTGGTTCGGACCCATTCTGCCTGCACCTGGTCCACCCCCACTCAGCCCAGCCCACCCGGCTCTTTCTAACGGAGCTGCTGAGACTCCCCTAACTGAACTGAGATCCTTTAGAATGTCTTCTGTGGGCTTTCCCTAGTGAGCTCACAACTCAGCCCATCTCTGTGATCAGCGATCACTCTAGAAATGGTGGGTCACAAACAGCCTTTGGGGACATAGAGGTCGGTAGCGGGTAACTTACAAAATCGGGCGAGACTGGAAATCTTCCTGGTTCATCCTCTCAGACTGGCGGATTTTCAGGATCTCGGTGTAGCTCAGGTTCTGCAGTTTGCTCTTGAACTGGTCCAGAGAGCTAGGCTTGGTTGTAAGCGCTCTCATAACCTGCTCCTTCACCACCTGCATTACCTGTGGGGGAAGGGAAGACCGTCATTTGCCTGGGGGCTGACCTCTCCCGTTCAGAAAAATCCTCCAGAGTTAATGGCCTCCTGCCTGCCCGGTCCCATCTACACTCTCAGCCAAAATCTTGAGCATGCTTTTCCAAGGAGTGCACTACCATTTGCATGTCTTCCATTTTCTCTTGCACTGTTGGAACCACAAGGAAGGAATTGGATTGACTTAAGTTGAAACTGGGCGGGAGAGGGGAGACTTGGGGTGGGAGGTGTGCTCCATTTGCCTGATATATTATGTGACTGCTGACACAACACTGTAAACAATGCCAACTCAAGAGTCAGGAAGGAACGAAGGCCAAGCAACAGCTAGAAGCCTGCATAGTAATTATTTTTTCCAGGAGAAAATTGCTGAGATACAATTAACTGTGGAAGTTTGGTTGGCACCGGTTCAAATGAATGTGAACAGATACCCACACCCGCCCCTCCCAGACTGTTTTCCCCATGTAGTTAAGGCCTGAGTGTTCATACAAATTATGCATTTGGAAATGTGCATGTGGTATTGCCTCTTTGAGCCAGGCACTAAAAAAAGAGGTTTATTAAATTAGAACAGACACATCCCATTGGAAGCATCAAGAAAAAAGAAGAATATGGTAATTTGCTGCCTCAGGACAGGTCTAGCCTACAAGGAGGCAATTAACCACCGCTTCTATTAATGTGGATTCATCTTCATCCGAATACATAAAACAGGAAAAGGCCAGAGAACACAGAGGCATCCAAGGGACTTGTTGTAATTTTGCTGCGGCTTTTTTCACCCTCCATTACAGATGAGAACAAGTGTTACCATTTATAAACTATCTACTACGTGCCAGATGCTATGGTAGGTACTTTTAAATATGTTTTCTCTCTTCGTCCACTCAGTTGAATCTATGCGGTAGATATTACCATCATCTCCACTTTACATATGAAGAAACTGAGGCTTGGAAACATTAAAAGGCTTCAAAATCATAGGGTTGATTGGTATGTAGATGAATTGGGATTCGATCCCAGGATTGTAACCACTCTACTACACTGCCACCCATGGCACCATTCTTGGTGTCCTTTGGGAACTTAAAAATAAGACAGAATCACATATGTGCCTCTGCTGTATGTTGAGTTCTGTGCCAGGCACTTTGCTGTTCATCACTTCATTGAATCCTCCTCCAATAGAGTAGATGTCATTACCACTCTTTTAAAGGTAAGGGAACTGAGGCTGAGAAAAGATCGATGACTTGCTAAGATCACACATATGTAGCTGAATCCCAGGATACCAAGTAGCCTAGTATGATACATGCAGCACAGACTTGACGTTGAACAAATAAGCATGAGATGTGGGTTTTGCCTTCTGTGGACCAATAAGAGAGGTAGACAAGGCCAAAGATCATTGCAATAGAAGTATGGAAATGATAAAGAAGACAGACTGACGGATTTTGTAGGTAGGTGGGGAGGATTTCAATGAAGAAGACATTTCATATGGGTTTTGAAGCAAAAATGGGTACTCAATCCGGGTGCAAAAAGATGAATAATCTGGAATACCACCATATATTAGCCACTTTGAACTTGGCCTATATTTGAATTAGAACCAATTACAAAAGCATCGTTTCATGACCCCAGCATAATGACATACAGGAAAATTTACAGTTGACCTTCTACCTGATCTGCTTCTTTTTTTAACTGATGCAAAATGCTAAATTTGGGGTGCTTGGCAAGTTTTGAAATTGTGACCACCTTACATCATATGGCATAAATGATGGTTAAATTTGGTGAAGACTGAACTATTAATATAATGTTCTACAGGGGCAGCCTTTCTCCCCAATAGAGAGACTCAGATTTGAGCCAAGGAGACCATTATTGTCTCCCAGTGATATCTGGCTTCTTGTGGGAGGTAAGACAAGTACAAGAGGCAAAGAGAGAGCAGAATACTAAAAAGGAAGATGAGACTTTTAAATAGAATCAGGTTAAAAGTAAGAGTTTTGGAGCTATCTTTACTCCCCTCATTTAACAGATGAAGAAAAATAGCAGTTGAGAGGGACAGGTGATTCCCTCACTGTGTGTGTTTCTTAGGGGGCTATCACAGAGATGACCATGTTCCCACACATCTGCCTGGACACAACGATTGGTCTAGCAAGTGGCCTATGATCTGAACTGACCAACCAGCGTCCTTCCCCAGACTTTTCCAGCTTGACTTGAGGTACAGCTTGAAGCATGTTCTTTTCCCCTGAAATTGAGAACTGTAAGACTATGTCCCTTACCATATGGAAGAGTGGAAGATAATGAGACCAATGCCAAGGATATCAGACAGAAATGTGTGCCTGAGAGAGTGCTAATCATGGCTAAGCCTTATTCAACCATAAAGTCAGCTCAACCCTTATATTTGGTGGTTTGGTTGCATGAACCTTTTTTCCTTTTTTCTTAAGATAGTTTGAACCATGGTATGAATGGTTCTTGTCACTTGCAACCAAAGAGCCCCCAAATTATGTATATATATATATAGTGAAGTCCAGGAGGAGTACCAGCTCGTGGGGTTGAGGTTGCCCAGGTAGGGGGAGAATGAGCACAGGGAAGCTGGATAGAAACAACAAAGCTACTTCAATAAAAAAATGACTTTAAAAATTCACCTTCATTTGTATGCTAAAGGCGGTACCTTTCGCATGGAAATGATGATGATTCCCTTATGGAATGTGCAGAACTCTTCAACTTCTGCTTATATCTTATGCTTAAAATCCACTGTTAGAACTTCATTCCTCAAGCCTAAGATTTTGATCTCTGCTAGATGCAAGAAAATCTAAGTAGAACAAGCCTTTAAATCCCCCCCGAATCACTTATACTTCAGTTTGAAGAAAGTACAGAACCTTTCCTAAGACCAGGCTAATAGCAGAAGGATGCACGCAGGTACCTGGCCACAGGGGAAGGGATATGTAAACAGTGGGGATACAGGACAGAGGGTGGTGGAGCCAAAGACTCCCTCTGTGCACGACACTTCACAACTTTGTTTGGCAAAGGCCCTGAGAAATTCCATGGATACTCTGCATGCCAAGGAAAATAACCTCAGTGAAAGATGTCATTGATTTTTTAAAAGACAAATTAGTTATATAAGTCAAATATTTCTCTGTGCCTTTGCAAAGTAGCTCCTACAAGGTTTACGATTAATGACTTTACGTCTCAGTTAATGTTCTACGTGTGCAATTTAAATCAAGACGTTCACAACCACCATCCATAACTCTGTCCTCTTCGGAAAATATCAGACCTTTTACCATTTGTTTAAAAACCCAGGAACGGTGCCACAGAAAAATCATCAGAAAATCAATGGAATTAAATTTCTTAGTTACAGGGTGTGCTTTGCCACAGAAATCAAAGAAAACATGCTCTTAGAATCTGCATTTGCTGTTGGTATTGACCCATCATCCGAGCAATGTCTGGATCATGCTGGTGGTGTGTTTCTGGAGTCTTCTTAGCACATGTTCTCTGTAATAATGTTACACATTACAAAGAAAAAGAGATTCCCAGAAGACATTGGTATTTCAAATCGAGAAAACCTTTTGGCTCCTTGGAAGACGGGGTTAGAGGTGCAAGGGCAGGGGACTCCTGAATGGAATCAAGCATGCTGGCTAAGTAGTCTAAGTGTGCCCCTGATTTTGTTGTTGTTCATTTAAGTGTGCTCCTGTATTTTATTTTATTTTATTTATTTATTTATTTTGAGACAGAGTCTCACTTTGTTGCCTAGGCTAGAGTGAGTGCTGTGGCGTCAGCCTGGCTCACAGCAACCTCAATCTCCTGGGCTCAGCGATCCTACTGCCTCAGCCTCCCGAGTAGCTGGGACTACAGGCATGCGCCACCATGCCCGGCTAATTTTTTGTATATATATTTTTAGTTGGTCAGTTAATTTATTTCTATTTTTGGTAGAGACGGGGTCTGCTCAGGCTGGTTTCGAACTCCTGACCTTGAGTAATCCGCCCGCCTCGGCCTCCCAAAGTGCTAGGATTACAGGCATGAGCCACCACGCCCGGCCTAAGTGTGCTCCTGTATTTTATTCCAAGATCTGCTGAGCCTCTCTGTGCTCCTAGTCTAATCACTTCTCCAGTCCTGCCTTTATACCCACATCATCCAGCGTCATTCATCCATTCATTCAGCACAGGTTTTCAAGCACCTACTCAGCGCAACACACAAAGAGACGCTGGAGACCTTGTGTTGAATGAGCTCTCGGCCTGGGAAAGTGGATGAGACCCCTGCAAACCTGCCCCACTCAAGGCAGGACAAGATGTCACAGCGGAGCAGGGGGCAGGTGTCCACTCCACACGTGGGGCTTACGAAGCCCCTCTCAGGCTCTGTGCGGGCAGGCTGAGGGCACAGCATCAGCACTTTGGCTAGGGCCTGCAGAGAGGCCACCTGTACACACGCTGAGAAGTGCACTGGGAGGGGCTGCTCTCGGAGGGAGCAACAGTATGAGCAAGGGCTCAGAGGGAGGAGGAGCTCAGCGGTGGGTGGGGAAGAATGCATGGTAGTCTAGTCTCCTTTAGTTGGAGAAAGGAGGTGGAGCAGCAAGGTGTGGTTCAAAGGCAGCCTGGGCCAGATAGGGGTGGCTTTGATGGCTAAGATGAAATAGTTAGACTTTCTCTTTTTCTCTAACTAGGGACAAGTCACCAGATTTGGGTGTGTGTGATGGAATTCAGTAATTGAAAGTATATTGCGACAATAGACAGCAGTCATTATTCCTGCTCTACTTGGGGTAAAGAGAGGATGTTAGAAAAGTCTGCACGGCTGCGACAAAATTTTTGCTGAGACTTGGAGGATGAATGAGAGTTACTCAGGCGAAGAAGCGAAGAAGGGAATTCTAAGTAGAGGGATAGATAGCATGAGCAAAGGCAGGGAGGTAGGGAATGCATGTCTCAGGCATTAAAGAAAATATGCTTTTGGAGTTTACGCCAGTAGCTTTTAGTGACCAGACAGGTAGGGCTTGCTGTATGGCTTCACCATTAGACC